TTGTGCGTTTAAGAAGTTCCGACACAATTGCTGATGCAATGGATTCAAGAAGCTACAACTTATAGAAACAGATTACTTTAAGTGTATCATTCTCCCTACACGGAGTTGACGCAAATCGGCGAGATGTATTTTGTCTGATGCCGGAGACGTACTTCTGTCATTTTATCCATCATTCATTTGGAATATCAGCAATGCAACCATGGAACGTTTTAGAACGGTTAACAAGATTCAGATAGGTTAGAAGTTGAGTAGACAAGGTTTAGAAGATCCGTTATGTACCTCTTGATGATAAAGCGAAGAATGTGTTCGTATCTAAATTACCATTGGATGCAATCATATTAATTCTTATTCAGAAGACAGTAGACGGTGAATATATTTCTGAGATAAAGTGATATAGAATTGAATATACGCAACGTATATGATCTCTCAGACAGCTTAATTCATGTTTCCGTATTCAATAAGATATTGCCCACAGTACTTTAATATCTACAGTAGAAAGGTGGTGTTATAAACATTTTTTACTCTCTTCTTTCATTTAAGCTTTACGTTTCTACAATTGTATTCATATTTCAACGTGAATTTAACACAATTTTCCGATTATAAATTGAACATCCTTTACGTTGCTAGTATTCTTGATAAGGTGAAGAATGTATTCACATCTAAATTATTAACACAAACCATAACATTACTTCATTATTATGTCAAGAGTATAGGGGCGGTACATTCAGGTCAGTTTTAAGTATGGATTATAACTATATCGACACTATATGAATTAGAAAAGTTATTTGAAAATTCCAGTTGAAATATTATAATTCGAATACTACGATAGTTTCATATCTACAGTAGAAAGCTTTCAAAGTTTTTGCTATTTTATTTAAACAATATTGACATTTCCACATTTTACATTTATGTTACCTTTTGAAATTGCATTTTACACAATTTGGTTAATTTCAAAGCATGTGTGTCTTCATAACATGTCTTCCACAGTTGAGTAATATTATATTCGAGTAGTACAGTACTTCGTACACAAAAAGTCAGAGTAAAATATAATACCTTGTGCTATTTAAGGTGTATACTCCCATATAGAGGATTTGGCTTGAATACTTAAACTAGTCGAAACACCTCAATTCTTTTTGATACGATAGTTTCTCATCGGTCTATAAATCTTAGCACAACAGCGATTATTTACAAATTAATGATCATACCTGCTACCACTATCCCTTATCCCCCCCCCCAAAAAAAAAAAAGAGAGAGAGAGAGAGAGAGAACAGATAGTTTATATCAAAGATGTTGAAATCTATGGGTTTAGAGATATGGAAAAGGTGAAATATGATGAGTGATAAAAGGAGGGGGAGAGAGAGAGAGAGAATGAAAGGTTACTCATGGTCTTTGTTCAGAGGAGCACAGCTACAATTTATGAAATATTTTAATTTCATAATTTTCCTGATATTAAAATACCCTATCTTTGGGGCTATCAACATGTAGCCAATACCTTGTAAGGGATTTTTCATGATTTCATGTCTACTTACATCCGAACAGAGAAAATTTGGCATCCTATATTCGTAGATGTATCTCAAAACAACCTTTTCCTGTAACTAAAATGTAATATTCTGTACACTAGCCACCTTTTGAACCAGGTACGTGTATACAATTTGAGAGGCAGAGATGGAATTAAAAAAACAAAAACTTTTCCTGATGTCATCTAAGCTACATGTAATTGGTATTCCACAGATGCATTCGTTACTCTTGGTAAGGCAATTATATTTGCACTAGTGCGGAACAGAAACCATCAGCTGTGCATGTCATTATCAAGGAATTACAAACTAACTTTTTTGTTTTTGTGCATGTATTGGTAATGGTAATGGTAATGGTTTTATTAACAATTCATTTGCAGCCAGATGGTTGAATTGCAGAACTTTGTACATTGTAAAAACATAAATATTTATACAACATAAAACGTATTAAGACATATCACGCAGTGAATGAATTTTCTAAATAAATCAGTGTACACATATATATACAAATTAATACAATTCATAAAATTCGCTTAACATTCTATTCCACAATCATCATAGGGCTGGAGGGAAATATAGAAGAGAGGTAGGGAGGATAATAGTGCAGACAGCACGGGAGATCCAGGAAAGTGTGAGATAGAGACAGTCAGAGAGGGAGAGAAAGAGAGAAAGGGAGAGAGGGAGAGAGAAAGAGAGACAAAGCGAGATATAATATATGTATATAAAAGATAATGCTGAGGATGAGAGTGTATATCAGGCATATCGAAAATAAGGTAAAAAGTACAATTTCGACAGAGAGAATACTGGTTGTAAAAATTAATAAATTACATTTTACATTTTCATTGGTGAGTTATGGATAACATATATTGTAAATTGATCGGTAGGTATGCAATCAGATGAGAGACATGAAGTATGGTAATTTTGATATTTTTCTTGTAATAAATATGTGGTAAGTATGTTTCAATCATCACAAGAGTGGATACTGCCTTGCTTTTCTCCGCGTGTTGATAAAGGCAGTGCAATAGGTCAACTAGGCAGTGCGTCGTTGATAATCCCTTTATATTACCAAATTGTTTATTGTCGAGTTGCGACCCGATGTACTGCATCAGCCACTTCGACACAAAACCCTCAAATACCTTCGCAAAACTATCGGTCAAGGAGATTGCATGGACGGAGCTTGTCGACACATGCAGGTGTGGTTTTAGGGACAGGAACAACTACAGCTCTCTTCCACATCTTTGGAACGACACCTTCAGCAAGTGAGGTACTGAAGATATGGGCCAATGGGGTACTAAGTTCACAAGCAAATTCTTTGATGATTCGGCTAGGTATCATATCGGGACCGACAGCTTTCCCAACCTTCACCTTCTTAAGCTGTTGGTAAACACCCCAAGGTTGAATGCGGGGAGGTGGAGAAGGGTCAGGTAAGTATGCAGGTAAGTTCTTAGCATCCATGGCGGGTACATCCTCAGCAACAGACTTGAAGAAGTCATTGATCCTGTTTGCTATTACGGCGGTATCATCTCTGTCAACTCCATGAACAGTTATACAGGAGTTGGCATTTTTCATGTTGGTCATGATTTTGATTTGTTTATACCATTCTGCAGGATTGGCCCTCTTATGTTTCTTCACTCGATCATTGTAATAGTCGTGCTTTGCTTTTCTTATTTCCTTTTTAACGCAGTTGGCAAGTTTCCTGGTAAGTTCCTTATATCACCAGTGAATGCGGCTTGTCTTTCCTTGATCAAAGATTTAATGACAGGGGTAATCCATTTATTGTCACGGCAGTGCATTCTGACCGTTTTTGTCGGCAGGAAACGGTCAATCTGGGAGTTCAAAATGGCACAGAATGCTTCAGTCTGTTCGTCTGATGAAAAACTGTCTATCACCGAACTCCATTCATACCTTGTTATCCAGGACCTAAATAGTCTCTTATCCGAATCTCTAAGTGGTCTTGTTATTCGTTCCATGATAGAATTTTGATAACGAGGAGGGGCAAGTGGTGACCAAACCACCGTGTTGTGATCACTGGCTCCTATTAAGGGACAACATACGAGTGGCTGGTCATAAAAACCAGAGAAGTTTGTCACTATCTTGTCCAGGATCCTTTTTTCTCTCGTTGGCGTCTTGACGGCTTGTTTGAAGTTGGTGTTTGCAAGCAAGGTAGTTAAGTCAAGTTGATTAAAGTCTCCCATAATCGCTATGGCAGCATCTGGATGCTGGCCCAAGATCTGATCCATGGTGTCATGTAGATGGTCTATCAGTATGTCTGTAAGCACACTGTCTAAAGGATGATACACTACCGCCACGATCAGATGCGAAATCGCTCGCGGAAGACGTTCAGGTCGTATTTTCACCCAAAGAACCTCCAGTTCTGTGGGCACTTCAATTTTCATTTGTACTGGGTTGTATGCCTCCTGGACATAAATCGCCACACCACCACTTTGCTTATGCGAACGTGACTTTGTGAACAAATTATAATTAGTAATTTCTGCAAGGTGTGTTGGCACATCGGATCTGAACCATGTTTCTGTTACTGCTGCAATATCGGTTTTCCTTTCTCTCAGAATTATTTCCATTGCATCTAATTTATTGTTGAGTGATCTTGCGTTGCATAGATAGAAGGATGGAAGGTTCAAATATATGTGTTGACTGGCTGCTACTTGGTTAGGACAGCGTTCAGTCGTTTTTATCCTCACAAGGTTTGCATGAATTGAAATTCTTTCGCGTTGACAGTGGCGCTGATTATTCACAATGACATTTATTCCTGAACAATTCTCATTGGCTTGTGGTATAATGGATCTCACCTCAGATTGTCCAATGGATGTGTCCATCGGATGGCGGAGGTTGTTCATGTTGGCCCCAGTCTGTCCTGGAATTGGCCTCCCTCTGCTGACCGATGCTGTTGTTACAACTGTTATTTTCCTTTGTTTTCTCCTTCCACCTCTCTTTCCTCTCTTCCCACGATAAGATTGTGATGGGCAGATACCAAGTGTCGTGATATCTCTCCATATCTGTTTCGGACTACTCCCTCTCTTTCCATGGTCCCACACTGGATTGCATTTAAGCAGGAATGATCGGTCATAGACGATTCGCTTAATTTTTTCCCCATTAGGTGGAGATATATCATTACCCTGTTTGGTTGGTCCTGGGTTTGGATTCACATCTCCAGACACCAGAAGTCGAAGTTGAAATGTTGCAGTAGTGTAAGGATGATAGGATATCCTTGCTCCAAAATATCTGCTTACTTTCAAATCAGGGTTATAAAGTACAGGGTGTCTACACAATGACTGTGGCAGTACATGAATAAATGACATGAGCTTTTGACATTCCCGACAGACCATTCGGACAGGCTGACAATAAGCACAATAGCAACGAGCTTCACTGGTTCCATCGTTCACACTCCACTCAATTCAAGCTGACAATACACTGTTGTATTTCAGTGTTGGTCAAGCGTAAAAGTCTAGTGCAATGGGGTAGTACAATATGGCTACTAGAAGTAAGTTAGTAGCATCTTGGGAAAATCTTCCACTCTCAGTTCTGTTTCGGTTATCACAAAATATCCAGCCAAGTTTGTCCTACAGCCTCCATGTATTTGCTTGAATGCTTAGATAACATCTATATGGATGGCAATAAGATGGTTCTTCAAAAAAATGACAAGATAGGCGGGAGCGATATGGTGGTATCAGCCTGCTAGGCGATATATATATATATATATATATATATATATATTATTCCGCTCATCCGAAAATGGAATTAAAAATCAGTTTCTTTACTACGAAAAAGAGTCATTTTATTTATATCGTGGCGGTAGACCATTCACAGAAAATAAAAGAAACTAGAAAAGCCAAATTAACATAATTTATGAAGAAGAATTCAGAACTTTTAAAAATAAACCCAGAAGCTCGAAATGTATTTATCTTCCTCTTTCAAGTAATGTCAAAGTTATTTCAAAGTATTATTTAGTTTCCTTCCATATTACAGATGCCTTAGTTAAATATATCACATTCTATTATATTGTATATTTAATAAGTCACTCATGGGAAAGTTGGATGAACCAAAGTAAAATTATGAAAACTCCTCAAATTAGTCTCCTTTAGCTAGGGGTGCGTCGCTAAAACATGTCGAATAGAAGGTTGGGATCAACTTGAGGAAAGATCTTTCAGAAAATGCTCAAACAAAAGCTGGAAAAGCAACAGTTCTCGAGGTAGTATTTTTTAGCCAACTTGGGTAACAATTTTTTTCCTAGAAATTGAAACTTGCTGACAGACTATTTTAAAAGGGGCTGTCATTCTCAATCTTCTATCAACGCCTCTGCCCATCGCTAGGATCGAGGTAATTCTCAGTGGACAGCTGCAATGTCAAGTACAACAATTAGTGTTGTAAGTGAAGGGTGGTATTGCTTTACGATAACATCAAACTATGCCTTTCCTGAGTCTCCTGACCCATAACCCCAGAGGAAATCTATCGCGTTAAACGTTGGCAGATGAAAGATGTTTGCAATTCGTCTTCCACTGCAAAGTTTCTCCCTCTTTTAAGTTAGTCCGCAAAGAAATCTGTGCCTATAAAAAATGCCTTCTTCCTAATGGCTGTAAGGTTAGGCGTGTACGGGCTACAACTTGTTTGACAAATTACCCGCAAGGTGGACCGGTTTCTAAGGCTTTACAAGACAGACATAATTCCGCATCATAGGACGATAATCATGTAGGAAGTCCAAAGTGTATCATGTAACAAGCACTTTGAAAACAAATACAATTTATTCGTATATATTCTAAAAGTTTTGTTTGATTTTGTTTCAATCGACGCCCAATCGGAGATCGTCAAAACAATTGCGTAATACGGTAACGGTGTTCTATTTTGTATCAATACAGGACACAACGCACACAAACCCAAACGCACACATTCACACACACCCGCTACCGTCTATATACACACCCACACACACAAACTTATAAGCAGAAGTATAAGGAACCCTGATTATTTGTAATTTATGAGGTCACTACCAGCGATTAAGTATTTAGAGCAAGGAATAAAAGACCCAATTCAGAATTTCCCATTTCTACCATACTGGAAGTAGATCAGTTATCATTTGAGGTCTCCAAATTTTACTTTCCGCTAATTACTTCTTAATGAGAAGCAATCGAACACTCCTGGTGTAATGCGATCTAGGAATCTAGGGAAATTATATTTAATTGACTAAATAGCCAGGTTTCTCAGTTGATATCTCCTCCAGAGCAGCCCATTGATGAACCTGTTATCTGCCATCACATCCTCATCTATAAAAACTAGACTCGTTCCAGGACGACTGAATAAAATATTCTGAAATTTAAAAAAAAAGTTTACCTGAATTCAAGAATGAATAAATTAGTTTGCAAGTGATTTTTGATTTTATTTCAGCTTACCTAAAGGTCAAACCCACAATATATAATTCCTCCTTTTTGTATAATTACACATAGAGTGATAACACTGAAATTATTAATGAATTTCATTACAGAATCCTATATGACAATCCTTAAAACAATTACTTAATTGAATATTAATATAATAAATGAAACTTAAAATTTAAATCAAACTTGAAACTTCTTTTTCAATAATAGACGCTTAAAAGGTATACAACGTTATATAGAGTAAGGTTAAAGGATGGAAAAGAAAAGAAAATAGCATTAATGCTAATCGAGTCCGGTATCTGTAAGCGTTAGGAAACCTAATCTCGACCTAGAAGTTATTTTTTTAATTCATGGCACTCTGAGGACTCGTGAGGAGGGAAAGAGTACCATTTATAGCACTACAAAAAACTATTCCTACCGTCTACATCCTAGCAATAATTCCTTTTGTTAGCATGACATCGACAGTAATCCGATATTAATTAAGAAATAGGACCTGGAGGCGAAACTACTGAATTCAGCACGGAGTTCACTGTTACACGCACGCCACGAAATCTCGTTCCCCACCGTGAATAAACTCGGTACTGGGGTTATTAAAACTGATGAGGACGTGTCGGCAAAAACCATTAACACCAAATTCCATCAGTTGTTTTTCTATTTCTATGAGATAGATAACGAAAGGCTGGAATAGATTTAACAGACCCTTATCTTAAATGAATCAAATGCTCAGGGGTTAAACCTGAAAAAGCCTACGCGAATTGTACAGCGTATGCAGCAGCACTCGAAACAAGGTATATAATGTGCGTGGCGTCATTGTACTTATCACATATAGGAACTTTTCGTTCGAATACGAACGATTGCTGTTATGGTATACATTAATATATGTAAAGTTATAGTTAAGCCCATATTAAATATAGTATCAACCTTTTGCTGATTATAAAATGTGAAACTCATCAAGTTCAACGGCGTGTCGTAAATGTAATTTCATATCAACGACATGATTATAAATTAAGCCTACAAAGAAAAACCGTATTAACTGAAATTTTGATTGAATTACAGGGAAACTATTTGAGAACACATTCCGTAATTATCTTTTGTACCTTGTAGATGTATGTTATTATTGTTTTTAAGACCTATATGCTAACGTATTCACCTAATGTTAGAGAGAAAATACAGACATTCTCATTAGAATTAGCATTATTAATTGCAGCACACATTGCTATGCTGCTAATACCTCAGTCACAACGCCAAACCGACTTTAGACCGACTCCAAACCGACCAATTCTCGGGGATAGACGCAATGTAATATTTTCGTTCGATCTGTTGTCGGTCTGGTGTAAGTCTTATCGGTGTGACTGAGGCATCATGGCATCTCAAAGCGCTTTGACCTATCCAGTAGAAAGGGCGCTTTATAAATAGCAACAAGTATCATGAAGCCTATACCCAGTAATATAAGATCTAGTCTACATACTGATGTGTATATGAGAAATATGTAATAACTAGTTAGAAATGTAAAGTGAATACAAATATTCACACGGGACGGTGAGAGTCCTGGATTAATTGAAAAGGGAAAAACAATTATAAGGTGATTCCGCAGTGCAGATTGTGCTTAATCGCGCACGAGTACCAGATCGAAACTCTGCGCAACGAAGGAGGAGATAACAGGAAGCGGGCCGACGATCGACCTGTTCCTTCTGATGAGGCCCAATCAATTGAATCATCTTGTTCGTATTTGTTCTTCTTCTGAGTCTTTGATGGAGTGGCGAATACTCGTGTTTGAACAGCGTGAAGGTTATTAGCCAGGTCGGAGCTAGACGTCATGATAAAGGAATTGATGGACATAGGAGTAGGGGGATGGTTCGTGTTGTGGTTCAAATAATATTGAAGGAACATTGCATGGAAGATGAGTTATTTTTTTAGATATGATAGCATTTATATAGTACTATAATTTTACTATGTGCAGAATAAGTATTTTGAATAGTTCAGCTGTGAATATTACAGCGACTTTTGGGGTACAGTATATTTCTTAAAAAGACATGGCGATACAGAACTCATGATCATTTATAGACCTATCTTTCTTTTGTCAGTTTCTGTTTGTTTGTTTTTTGTTTGCCTTGGGTTTTCTTTTTCTTATGACAGTCGGTGCTTCCCAGCTATTGCAATAAAGCGAGTTTAAAGCAGTTTTTAACTTTTAAATAGTATATACCAGACACTGAAACCAAAAATGTCTTCTTCAATGATAATTAGATTGTATGCATTGGTGTAGTTTATAATCCCCGTCAATCTGTTGGAATTACCCTTGAAAAAATAATTTCCTGACCACGTTTTCATCCATCTAGGCTACGGTATGTACAAAGTACATTGCCATTATTAAGATTGAAATTGTGTCCTTACATCTGATTAGTCTGCAGGCACAGGCTCTAATTTTATACTTTACCACAATTCCTAAAGTCTTGAGCAGATACTAGCCCTGCCAGTCTCTGGTTGTGAGCAGCAGTATGCTATTAGCTTAGTCTCACAAGGCAGACACTGTTACTCACAGCGACTGACAAAGACTTGTGCCTGCAAAGTAGCATTTGATCACGAATTTATTTCAAAGAGTAACTGTTAGCGATACACGTCTAATTTTCTAAGAAGTGTGCAATAACCGACACGGTTTTCTATTCCTTTCAATCTCTTTGATACCTTCAAGTAGAATCCAGATCACGTACTGCCCGCCAATCCACCCTGTATCTTCTCAAAATTGATCGCATTTATTTAATTAGCCCAATTTTTAGATACAATCCGCTCTCGTTCAAGTGGATGATCACTTCATGTGGTAATTACTCCCTGATAATAACGGAGAAACTATGTTAACGATGTTATAATCTCAGTCCATGATCTTGAAACTTGAACATCTCTCCTACACCCGACTTCGAAATTGCAATATCAGAATTAAGCGGATCTTGAGTGTCGAGAGGGATGCTGTTTTACCGCATCGTGCATTTGCATACTACATGTACTTTGTAACATGATAAGGCCTTCTCATTTTGGCTTGGCTGTTTTTATCGTGCTTTGTATGCTTATTATATGTATCGCATCCAGGAAACAATGTGCTTAAAGGGAATATGTAGTT